TTTTTATTTTACTCTATTATTATTATATCTTTAACACCAGTTTTGAAATGTTACACTTTTTAACAATTATTAAACTTGTGCTCTTTAGGAATGATCATTTAAGAAAGCAATTTAACCACTAGACATGTATTCACCAAAGCAGTAAATTAAGATTTGTCGTTTGAAGTTGACGTTTGGCGTATAATTAATTCCATACTTGACCTGGGGACGTCTTGACCTGGGGACGTTTTGGCCTGGGGACGTTTTGGCCTGAGGACGTTTTGGCCTGGGGACGTTATGACAGCGGAAAGTCGGGGACGTTTTGACCTGGGGACGTTTTGACTGGACACCGTAATTTTAGACCGAAAATAGTAATTTTTGAAACCGGATGTGGTAATTTGCCCTGAAAAAACCTGGTCACACTGATTACAGAATATCAAAGACAAAGTCTCAAAATATAAAGTACACATCTTCTTATTAAGCTCTATTTACATTTCAAACTTTCATTGGATTTTTTTGGTTTTTTTGTTGTTGTTTTTTTGGGTCTTTTTGTTTGATATGACAATGCTAAAACTATTAAACCTCAATAAAAGCTGTGCATAACAGAATTTACAACATATAAGATTGTATAAAAGTGTATCCAGGACCAATAGTTGAAGAAACCAGGATCCTAACTTGTTTACGATGAAAATTGATTTTAAAAACTTACTTTCGATTCCACCACCACGGAGTGAACCACAGTTTCATTAATTTCTACTTGAGGCAAGGAATAATATTAAAATATATCAATTACTTTTGTGAAAAAGCTCAGCTACATAGTCTAGGACCTGTATAGATGTTTGTATGCGTTTCATTTACCACAGGTAATCTCAACTGTTTTAGGGTAAAATGACCATGGCGGTCAACATGGCATATGTGCCAAAACCTGAATCCGGGGCGAAAGTCCTGAAAATGACCCCGCCCTGAAACGGCAGTGCCGACATAGCTCTAACTTCCGAAAAGCAAAAGCGACAGCCATTCTGAAGTGCTTATAGTGTTTAGAAGGGTTGCTTTTAGGGGTGGTCACTGGAAGGAAAAATTTGTCTAAGTATAATATTTTACCAGAAAATGACTATGCACCACCCCAGGTAAATTGCTTATTATGCACAAAATAACTAATATGCCTGGCAGAAATTTAATGTTCTTATTTCCTAAAGAAATTATCATGGAATGAAAAACTATGCTTAATTTAATATAATTATTGTAGTTTTCATAAGGATTGTCATTGTTTTCTTTAAATATAATACATTTTAATTCACTCACCCCCATGAAAACACCATTTCAGCCATACTTTGCCGTTTTGTTTGCTTTTTATCGCCGAGTCTCGCAGATATCATCCAGTTGTTGTACTTTTACATAATGATAGATGGCTAAAGACGATTTCGACGAAGTTTAATGAAGTTTTGTAACAGTGCAGTATATTTTATCTTCGATATTGTGTCCTTCGATATTCCGTCAAATAGCCGCCATTTTAATGGCTCACCGCTTCTCTGTCCGATAAATGCCACTTCTTCGTCTTCCTATGTGTTTAGACTACAGTATCCAATACAGTATCCATTGTAGAATAGTCCCAATCGAAAAAATGAAAACATTTGTTGGGTTTTGATGGCCAAACCCTCCAGGTAACCATTTAGGTTCAAAATAAAATACAAAGCATTTGAAAGTCACGCGCAATCTTCGCGAAAACTTCTCGTGGACACATGACAGGGGGGTGAATATTTTCACGAAACGTTTGTTCGCCACCACAGCAACCTAAAATATATTGTATTTATTGTATTTTTATGAATTATGATAAAACTACCCAAATATTTATTGTTTTTATCATAATTCACAAAAATACAATAAATACAATATATTTTAGGTTGCTGTGGTGGCGAACAAGCGTTTCTAGACTAACAGTAAAATACTAAAATCCATGTGCAAGTTCCACACATGCGGCTAAAATCGAGGAAATGAAGAATGCGCATTTGCCCGACTCCATCTTGAATTCATTATTAACTGAGGACATCCGTGGTTATCTTATGATAATAATGAATCAGTAAAATGGTTATCCGTTAAAGTGCTCGTGTATCCCTTGGTTACATCCGTAGTTTATTTCTATTGTCAGCTGGGAAGTAAACACGCGATAAAAAGTTTTCTTTATTAAATTGACTCGAGATATATTTACTGTGAAAAGATGCTGATTTTTATGGCGAATTCAATAGTGTTCTCCGATTTTCCATCTTTAGATGTTAATTACCAAGGTAAATCTGTCAATTTTGATAAAAATTTGGAAGGGAAATAGAAGGATATTTAGAGATTTTTGGCAGGAAATTTTGCATGTGAAAAGGAAATTTCAGGTTATGGGGAAGGAAATTATTTTTTGCGGAGTGAAAACATCGAGTCACTGTTCCAGTCCAGTCCATGTTATGTACTATGCCAGAATAGTGCAAAGTTCATGGGGCTTAACAAATTGTCGAGAATAGATTAGGTATGTTATTAAAATACGGACGCGTGATAGTCCCGCGCGATGCGAGTGTTTTTTCCTGGAAAAAGCATGCTTTCCGGGTATTGTTTGTAAAACAAATGTTTCTTTAATATGTTGAAGTTGTTAAGAAAATAAAGCTATTTAAAACTGTGACCTGCTTGACTTTGTTGGAGTGACTTGGCACTTGTTTGGTGTCAGGATTCGGTATAATAACTATAAGTCTTTGTGAATAACAGACTTCGAAGGTCGCCCAATCTTTGTTCCAGATCCACTCGATGCATCTTGAGTGTTATCATTGGACTTCCGCTTTTTGGAGTTCTTTTTAACTGTACTGCGACTAGAAGAATTGTGACTTTCTCTGCCTCGTGTATTATTAATGCAAGCATTAAATGTGGGAAATCTCTGTCCGAGCTCAGCTGCAAATACCGAGATATTTCCACCAGAAGTAGTCGACATATTTGAATTACTTGCACTGCTGTTTGAAGCAGTTGATTCTGCTAAATTTCGAATATCAGGATTTCTTAAATTGCCAATAGCTTGTAGTGCTTGTGCAGCAACTTCGCAAGCCGATGAAATATCTTCGAAGTTTCTTCCTGCCATCTTTGGTTGCGTTTGCGGCGACAATCGAAGTATCAAACTTTTATTGACTTTTTATACCGGAGAAAATGTCATTGAGCATATAAAAAGTCGTTGAGCATATAAAAAGTCGTTGAGCATATGAAAAGTCGTTGAGCAGATAAAAAGTTGTTGACCATATAAAAAGTCGTTGACCATATAAAAAGTCGTTGACCATATAAAAAGTCGTTGACCATATAAAAAAACCTTGACCATATAAAAAGTCGCGTTGAGCATATAGAAAATAGATGAAGTTACAAAAACTTGAATAGGCCATATAAAAAATACCCCCCCCCGAAAAAAACAGAAAATGGCAAAAAGAAAAAAGTTGTCGGCCAAACATAAAGTCGAACGTACCAAATATATTCAATTGCAATATTGACTAGTTCGGCGCCCCATATCTATCCCTTTTAAAGAGTAAATTCTACTCTTTTATGAGAGTTGGATTGACTCCTAGAGCAGTAAGATTGGAGTTGAAGTTACTCCTGGAGTAAAAATAAAGGAGTAAAAAGTACTTGAATATTTGTACTCCTTTGCTGGAGTATATTTTATCCCTGCAATGGAGTAATATTTACTCTTAGTAGAGTAAAAGTTTTATGTGAACTGAAGTGGAGTAGTTTGAACTCTGGTTTTGGAGTGAAATATACTCTAATTTTTTTACTCCCCAAAAGGGAGTTATTTCAACTCTTACGGTGGAGTCAAAATTACTCCCTAGAATTAACAGTGAGGTCACGGTTTCTCCTAAAAAGTTTGGCGGAGGGGAGGGGTACACACCCACATCCCCCTTTCGGTACGCCCTTGTGTAACAGAGTAGCGCTTATTTCGTTGTAACAGTAAATCGTGATAATTATTATAGAAGGAACAGTGTGAGATATAAAATAAACAAATTTTAAATGTACATGTTACTGCACACGTCACTATGTATTTATTATATTTTACTATTTCTCGTAAAACGTGGACAATACTCGAGTACTCCCATCACCCCCGCCCCCCGCCCTTACGAAAATCAACACTATTTTAACCCTATTTTATCCCTATTTTATTCCTATAGAAAAGCTATTTTATTTTTAACCCTATCATATTGCTATCACATATACAAATCCTATATTAAACCTATTAGAACTCTGTTTTAATTGTATTTTATGGCTATTATAAATAGGTTTTTTTGAAACAAAAAATAGCCTATTTTAAATAGAATTTATTTTTCTGAATCGGTGAAGCACAGATTAAAATAGGTTTAAAATAGGATAAAATATATTTAAAATAGAGTGCAAAATAGAAATAAAATAATAAAGTAAAGTGAAATGTTGGTAATAAAATAGATTTTAAATATACATAAAATAGGTAAAAAATAGTCGAAAATACATATAAAATAGTGGATCAACTGCAGTATATTAACTAAAAATAGTAATAAAATTACTGCAAAAATAGTAATAAAATAGTTTAAAAATATGAATAAAATACTGATAAAACAGTAATAAAATAGTAGAATTTAAAATAGTGATAAAATAGCGAACAAAATAGTAAAAAAATAGTTCAAAAATTTTATAAAATAGTATAAAAATAGTAATAAAATTGTAATAAAATAGTCGAGAGTCATAACAGTTCTAAAATGATTAATAAAATAGTTATAAAATAGTCAGAAAGTAGTAATAAAATAGTTATAAAATAGCAATAAAAGAATAGTAAAATAGTCATAAAATAGCAATAAAATAGTCAAATGTAGCAATAAAATAGTTATAAAATAACAATAAAATACCTAATAGTATATAAAATAGTAGTTTATCCCTATTTTACTTTCTATTTTATTCCTATAAAAAAGCTATTTTATTTTTAACCCTATCATATTGCTATCACATATACAAATCCTATACTAAACCTATTAGAACTCTGTTTTAATTGTATTTTATGGCTATTATAAATAGGTTTTTGTGAAACAAAAAATAGCCTAATTAATAGATTTTATTTTTCTGAATCGGTGAAGCACAGATTAAAATAGGTTTAAAATAGGATAAAATATATATAAAATAGAGTGCAAAATAGAAATGAAATAATAAAGTAAAGTGAAATATTGGTAATAAAATAGATTTTAAATATACATAAAATAGGTAAAAAATAGTCGAAAATACATATAAAATAGTGGATCAACTGCAGTATATTAACTAAAAATAGTAATAAAATTACTGCAAAAATAGTAATAAAATAGTTTAAAAATATGAATAAAATACTGATAAAATAGTAGAATTTAAAATAGTGATAAAATAGCAAACAAAATAGTAAAAAAATAGTTCAAAATTCTAATAAAATAGTATAAAAATAGTAATAAAATTGTAATAAAATAGTCGAGAGTCATAACAGTTCTAAAATGATTAATAAAATAGTCAGAAAGTAGTAATAAAATAGCAATAAAAGAATAGTAAAATAGTCATAAAATAGCAATAAAATAGTCAGAATGTAGCAATAAAATAGTTATAAAATAACAATAAAATACCTAAAAGTATATAAAAATAGTAGCACTGCAACATAGTTCTTTATAAAGTAATAAAATTGTAGTATGATAATTAAAACCAGTTAAAAAATAGTAATGAAATAATATCAAATTAGCTTAGTACCATGGTTGACAGGTATATTATCGTTTAAAATTGTATAAAATAATACACATAAAACAGTTTGTATTCTTTTTAGCTGTCAATGCTAGGTTGTGACAGTCTAACAGCGGCAGGGGTGAATGGGGCAGGTTAAGCAGTGTCAAATCAATGGCATTGTTTACAGGGACACCGGAACTGGGGGGGGGGGGCAGGAGGGGCAGCTGCCCCCCTTAAAATTGTCTAGCATGAGACCACACAGTTAAATATTGTGTGCAGAACTTAAAGTAAGGAGTGTTAAGGAAAATTACATCTAAATATGTCAACATGAAACATCATGGGTATGAAATATCATGAGTCTGCTGAAAATTGGGCACTTCGGAGTGAAATGGGTAATTTCACCATTGTCGTGACTTGCCGGGTTGTGTCTAAAGATATATAAAATGTAGCCCAGAGGTTGTTACATATATTATTAAGCAGATCATGCAGGCGGTATAGATAAATGTATTCATATATTATAAACTTTGAACAAGCAAACAAAGGACTTTGACTGTTTCCAGTTAGGGCACTTCCATAATCAAGTTGCCATACAACAAATTGATCAAATTAACATTTTACCTATTAACCGACCCACCCGGCTTTAAAAACTTAAGCATAGCATACAAAGAAAATTGAAATTAACCCTCTATACCCCCATTCCATTGATATCCTAATACATTGTACTATTACCCTCAGATGTTAGACATGGTAAAATCAAACAGAACTGAAAGAATCCAGCTTTGATGCAACCAACACCTGGTGTTAGACTGAGAGTGAAAAAAAAATTAAAGTAGGGTATATAAGTGCTATAATGGTAAAGTGCATGAGACATCCGGCTGATAATTTCAGCAAATATACTAGATAGATATAAGTAGAAAATAATATAACGGCACGTCTTGCAAATATAACAACATATCTTGTGAAACACTGCTGAAGGTGAATCATATTTGATTCAAAACATACAGTTTTCATAAATTGTGTGTTAATTACTATATAATGCACTCCTTATTCAGAATAACTTTTATTCTATGACTATTATGTAACTGAGACATGCACATTTAGCTGGGATATGCCTAGGTATTTATAAGCATATAAAGAATTGAGGATTGAAACTTGAGTAGACGCCAAGCTATAATATATTAAAGGGGAAGTCAAGTCCGTTCTGCGCATCGGTTCTGCGCATAACAATAGAGGGCCCTCTGAGGTAAACATTGCCCAAATTTTGAATGTTTCGAATTTTTCTGAACACAAACTCTATTTCATATTCATGTAGAAGCATAACGAACCAAAATGGTGTTAGATATTCAGACAGTACATCATATTTTAAAAAATACAGCAGTTCAAAATGTAAACAAACCGTTTGTTTACATTACGGACTTGACTTCCCCTTTAATTTTGATACAAGAAACACTGCCACTGGAATCTGGCAATACACAACTATTAACTATTTGGCATTAGTTAATACAATAAACATAATTTAATATAAAGACTTCAGGAGTCAAATGTAAGCTTTGAATTAAACTAACGTTTTATATCAT